CAAGCATTCACATTTTTCGGGCTTGAAACACAATGATGCGTGCCCAGTATTGGGGGTCGACGCTTGAAAAAGTGCAGCGATATCGGATTCAAACATAGATTGGGTTGTTTGCATCCCCCTTGATCCCTTAAGACGCAATAAAAAAAATTCAAGGTTTTCACCATTTCAAAATATGTTTCCACAGTGGGTTGCTCCCTGTTCTAGTTGAGGCTGGAACAGGCGAAACGCAACAACCCAGAATTGTATCAGCGACGAAAAAGGATGCAAAGTTTTTATTGCATCTGAAAGCGCAGGCTCAAGAACATATTTCAAAAGAAAGCATACCACTCATATAATGTTATGTGACGGGATGTGTTCGCAACTCGGACGCTTATGCAGAAGAAAAGTCGTTTCAGATATTGCGCGTTCGTCTCGAATGTTGGAAGAACCTCCAAAAGTGCTCAAAAGGAACATGTTTTATTCTTAGAGAAACTTTATTGGAGACGTCGCAGCGCGGGAGTTGCGATGTCGGAAAGTAGCCGTGAGCCATTGGAGCCGCCGGGATCCCAAAGATTTCGGACCAATGCAAGCCCATGTCCCGTGCCATCCTTGGCGCTGGCATATTTACCCAATAAATCGGGTGTTTTTTGCGGTACATGTAGCTAGTATATTTTAGAAATATCATGGATGATCGAGGCGTGTGATCGTTTGCCATTGTTTTGGTTCGGCGGATGAGCGTTGACTTCACATCCGATGTAGTGCTGAGGCACTGCGCGCCATCCGCCCGGCACAGAACTGCCCCAGCCTAAGTGGCAATGGACCGTCCATTTTGAGATTGGAAAAGTAATAACATAACATTTTAACATTTTTGGGTTTGTTTGAAAAAGTATGGGAAAACTTCCAATTCCAATAAATGTTAATCCTTTTCCCATTTTCTTAATGGCTATTTGGTGATTAATCCCTCATTTTCAGACACGCCCTGATGGTCCATGAATCAAACCAACAGGGTTGTGGCAAGTGTTGGTTAATGGGTCTATGTTCTCTGGGTCATTGTGACCCCATCAACTGTTGGCTACACAGAGGGTCCAGTTCGACCCACAAACAACCAAACACTGTTACTTTGCCCTACTCCAAGTTGCTAAGAGAATGTCAATAGAGTTTGTATTATTTATGTCAAATGTTTCCATCTATTTCCATCTAAAATCCATGGCAAATCATTTGAGGCAACACCCCCGCCACGGCCTGGCCTCAGGGGACAAGACAGGTTGCGGCGGATTTACGGCCATTGGGATCAGTAGATCGTCTATGGTGCTGATGCACCTATCATTACTACGATTATTAACCTACAAGGAGTGTACATTCTACAAAATCAACAAACTGTGTAGGCAAATATTGCAGCACCATAGATGCTGCGACTTGTACACCACCTACAGATTGTTTTTCATGCTTAGATGGAACCTCCAAAGATGGAGCCTTCGAAGATGTGGCAGGGTTGCCAATTGCCAAACAATCCTTTACCACCAATTTCTGGTCATATGAATGCGTATTGATGGGAAAATTGATGACTAACCACACGGTCCATAGATTTTGGATGTTTTTGGGGTTGAAATGTGAAAAAACATCTTAACAGCGACTGAATCTACGGCTACGGGTTTCCTGTATAATTTGTTGGAGAAGTCGCCAGATTTGCAAGATCAAGGCTTGAAGCCTTTGCCTCTTGCCAATGCCCAAGAGGCCCAGAGGGTATCCATGATTTCGTGTTAAAGGCCAGGTGGAACAGCCTTTGGAAACCCCCAAGAAGTGTCTGCAAATGATGAACTTTAACCGTAAATGGCCATAGTAATAGGGAAAGGGTGATCATCCATTGGATTTGTTTGGGTACGATATTTTCAGACAACCTATATTTGTCAGGAAATGCAATGGTTTCATGTAGATTGGTCGTAAATAATCTCAATGATACTGAGATTCTAAGTGAATCTTGGAGGATGCTGAACCAGGAAATGAAGGCCAGTGACCATCACAAGCTCAACCGACCGATGTTTGGGTTCATGATGGTACTCATAGATGTTTGATTTTCAGAGCTCTGAACAACGATTGGAAGGTGTCAAACTCGGGCGAGGCAGAGATGAGGGCGGAAACTTCAATTCAGAACGGCAATGAACCAGAAGTGTGAGCAGCTCAGCCCCTCAGAGATTTATGTTTGGAAGATGGGACAGTTATGTCATTTGAGCTTGGCTGTGGGGAAACTCCGAGCATGGTAAGGTTCAACAAGAGGGGGAAGTCAGACTATTCCAACAGATGGGATGCTGCTGCAATAGGGCCCCAATGACTAGTCGACTTGTGTGGTAAACACAACCCGATGATCAAGCATCCCTAAGTCTACAGAAGTTGGGTGCTGTTCAGAGACTTCAAATCAGACAACTAGAGTCTAGGATTGGGTCTAAACTATCTAGACTACGGGGATCCCCCAAAAGCTTGACATTTTTTCCAGGAATATCGATCTATTTTTGGGGTTTCTAAGATCCATTTGGTTATGGATCAACAGTTTTAATCCACCAATTTGGTGGGTTCATGGTTACAGTACCCCATAACCCAAAACGGCAGCTTAGACATTTTGATGTAGGAAAAATCAAGATGATGATAATTATTGATAATTCATAATACACATAACATATACTATATATTTATGATATGACCATTTCATTTTATCATGTGGATGGTTTCCACATCATTTTGATATCGCTTTGCCCACCGACTGTTCGGCTCGCCTCAGGTGGATGCCAAGGAAGCCATGCGATGCTCCTATGGAGCAGCCAGACGAGGTGACTGGTGATGGAATCGCAATGCGTTTGCGGATGAAATCCAAGATTTCTTGGTGCCGAACACCCATTGTTTGGTTCTCAAATGCCCAACCTCTTTGTTTCTCAGAAGTCCATTTTTTCATGATTTTCATGAAACCCAAATGGTTCTTGCCAAAATCCTTCTGTTTTGCTCATGATTTCCCCATGTCTTGCTGATGCGTCAGACGCCTCTGAAGCGGCAGCAGTGGCCCGGCATCCAGCAGCGGAGTATCATTGCTTTGGACCGGGCACCTAGATGATGCTGTTGAGATGGCAAGAGGAACTAGTTTGGGCATGTGGATTTCATCGTTGTGATGGTTCTAACCTGCCAGAAATGAGATTCTAACCAGCAAAATTTGGCTTGCGCAATGTGGTTTGAATCAGCAGCAAAATGTGTTGGTTTTATCACCAACAAGGACTGGGATGAAATGGTTAGTTTTGTTATTCCACACCTGCCAGGTGAGGGTTGTTAGATTTTATCACAGTTGTTCTCCTCCTCCGCCTCCTCCTCCTCTAGCTTCTCCTCCACCACCTTTGCATCCACTCCCATGTTCACTTCCGCCTTGCCAGCTCTTCGCTAAGCTCTTCGCCAGCTTCCGCACGCAGTGGGCACTGCTGGACCTCAACTGCAAGGGTCTGAGCGCACTGTGCACCGCTGGACCTCAACCTGGGACCTTCCGAGCTCAGTGAGCACCACTGGACCTCAACCTGGGACCGTCCGAGCTCAGTGAGCACCGCTGGACCTCAACCTGGGACCCTCCGAGCTCAGTCCTGGGACCCTCCGAGCTCAGTGAGCACCGCTGGACCTCAACGGCCAGATAGAATGCCAGAAGATATGCCAGATAGAACGCCAGATAGAATGTCAGAAAGAATGTCAGATAGAATGCCAGAAGGTATGCCAGATAGAATGCCAGAAGATATGCCAGATAAAATGCCAGAAGATATGCCAGATAGAATGCCAGATAGAATGTCAGATAGAATGCCAGAAGGTATGCCAGATAGAATGCCAGAAGATATGCCAGATAAAATGCCAGAAGATATGCCAGATAGAATGCCAGATGATATGCCAGATAGAATGCCAGAAGGTATGCCAGATAGAATGTCAGATAGAATGCCAGAAGATATGCCAGATAAAGTGCCGGAATGTTTGCCAGGACATATATGCCACTAGATTTGCCAGATAGAATGCCAGACAGAATGTCAGAAGATATGCCAGAAGATATGCCAGATAGAGTGCCAGAAGATATGCCAGAACATATTGCAGAAGATATGCCAGGTAGAACGCCAGAAGATATGCCAGATAGAATGCCAGAAGATATGCCAGATAAAATGCCAGAAGATATGTCAGATATATAGAATGCCAGAAGATTTGCCAGTAACAAAACGTATAGATGTCATGGTGGGGATAACTCGAAGTAAAGTAATTTATTTATGGGATTTTTCAATAGTCAAAACCTTTCAACCAGAAAAGAAAAGTTGGAATCAACCTGTAAAGAGATGTGGATAGAAGATGTGGATATCATCAACCAAACATTAAGCCAGTGAAATGTGGGTTTAAACATGTTTGGACTCCCCAGATGGGACGGTTTGCTGCTAAAGATCGTCATGGGAGTCCTGAGTTTTGGAATAGGCGTCGGTTGCCATTTGCCATGAAAGAACAGGTTTTTGAGAAGGCAATCTATGGTTTAATAGAGCAGGGTAGCAGAAAAATTATAGTTCACCATACCCAGGTTGAACACCATTTTGGTGAGTTTCATTCAAATATATATATAATATATATATATATAGATATAGATGTAGTTGTGCCCCATATCATTGCTCAATGTTGGGAGCCGGCGGCTTCTGGGTGGGTTAAACATCACGTTGGTCCCCAAAGGTGGTATCTTGTTAGGTGTTTGTCCAGAAATGGCTGATCTTACCACTATGACTATGACCATCGGATACAGTAATGAATCAATTCACAAAGATTCAATCACTGCATTTGTTTAAGAAGCAAGTTATTAATTTGCCAACCAAATAACTAAGAGATACTAAGAGGTTCTTGCAATTTGTTCCTTCAATTCTGCGAAATCGAAGGGACATCAGGGTCTCCTGGTGCCGAAACCACATTGTAAAAACAATACATCCTCAGGATATCCCCAATATATCCCATTGATTCCCCAGGTCTTATGCTTTTGTGCCATGCTCTTGGCTATGGGCCCTGCCGCCTATTGCTGGTGGAACCAAGCGGTAAAGCCCTCAGACAGGGCCAATGTGTTTATTTGGATCAAACGAACCATTTTTTATGGAGATTTAGTGGGGCTGAAATGAGAGATATACAACATCATTATATCAATATCGTATACCGGGATACTAGGGATATAAAGTATATAATTGGAATTAATTGAAAAGTAAAATTTGATTGTTTTAGTGTATAATGTGTGATAATTGTATCGAGATATAAGGATACAAGGGATATACTGGGGTATATTGGGATGTGTAGTGATACATAGCCAACAATGTGAGTTGGGCTTCTTTGGAAAAAACATGGGAAAACTCAGAATCCAGCGCGTTGCCATCGTTTTTCACATTGATATTGACCTCATGTTGGGCAACGCCACATGCCACGAATCCAGTGGGGATCAATAAATGAAGGCAGTAGACCAGTCATGACCAGTTAGTGTTTTTGTAGTTGCATCCCACGTTGGAGTGAAAATTCATCAATGAATAGTTAAAAAATCATCAAAGTTCCATCGGGTTTTTACTATCAGATGTCAGGTTTTCATGTGGTTGGTTAAACATGTTTGAACCCTTCAATGTTTCTGTCATCCAAGCTAAATTCATCCCCATGTGTCACCAAGGGCCGCGCCGAGCTGGCTGACACCTACCGTGGTGGCGCACACCCAACGGTGAACGCCACATGTAGCAACGTTCCTGAGGCGGTCGCACTTCGTTGGATCCCACCAAAACATATCAAAATGGTCTCACTGTGTGTGTGTCCTTTGTTGTCTACTGTAGTACCTATCAGTGCGAATCCACAATTTGAAATTTAGACAAATATATCAAGATAAGATGTTTTATATCTTTGTGTTTGTTGTTGTTAGGACCTATCAGTACTGGTGGAGATTGCAGTTGTTGTTCATCTTCTGATTTTGTGTGACATAATCTCGACATCTTCATGGATTGGTAGTATTCCGTTTTTTGGTGGTGAACCTATGTTGTTTATTGTGATATCATATGGTTGATGTTTGCAGTAGAAAAGTGTAGGTGAATATGGGTGTGTCTGACAATGGTGTAATACACATTTATACACGGTATAATTCAGTTATATGGCAATTTTCATAGGAACAATGGATGAAAGTTATGATAAACCATGGGATTTCGGTGAATTTTCAGGTTACCAAACCCATCGATGGACGATGCTATCACCCGCAGGCGACCCCAGGAGCTCATCACCGGCCGATACTTGTCCTCGGTAGCGACTATGTGAATGAGGCCGTCCCGTTGTGCGATTCACACGTGGTCGTGCAGCTGGTTGGTGTGTTGAATCCATAAAGGTGGAGATAGGGAAAGATTATGATTTACTGCTTTGAATTGTTGGGTTTGAGGGTATTCTTGGCAAAAAAATGTATGGCGTTCATTCTCGCATGGAATCTGCAAAACCTAATCAAGATAACCCCGCCATGTTTCTACGGAATGTGGAGAACCCAATTATGATAAACCCATATAAACCCCAATGTTTCCTCGGTAGTCCACAGGTTTTTAGCATCGCAAAAGGCCTATGGGTATTCCTCATTGGATGATGCCGATATGCCGCAGGTCGCTTGCGGCGGCATCAATGGTCTTTTGATGATGGCCTGAGACCGAGACCGGGATTGACGGGATTGACTCCCATGTTGCGGCCATTTTCATGTGGAACATGAGGAGTTTTTAAACTTTTCGAATTTTGATTTAACTGATTTATTTCTCATGCAAATATTGGGGTACCTCTTTGAACCCACATATGGCGCGCCATGTCACTTTTAACATCTGAAACCATTACATGTTGGCAGTCGATAATTTTGGGCCACAGCCAGCCATATCATATCATGCCGTTCGGAGTAGCGGCTGTAACTCATTTGTACTGGTAAGTGGTATATATATAATTTTATATATTGTATATGCTGTGTTGTGTTAGATGGTATTATCATGTATTATCAACAGAAACAAGTGGTGATGTTTTGCGGGCGCAAGATCATGAAGCAAACACTAAATGCCCTCTTGCAGGCTCCGAAAGACAACTGCTAAGCTTTCTTGGCTTTCACGGCAACGGCAGAACATTTATTGTTCTTCCCAAGAATCATCTAATTGCTATTCACCTTCAATGGCCGACGTCACTCCGTGCTCTCTGATTGTTGCCAAGGTCGCAACCGTTGTGGCAGGTATTGGCATCGACATGCCTGGACCACACATTTTGGCCATGGGAATGGTGCCCTCCCCAGATGTTGAGGACCTGGAGCTGGTGATGTGTTGATGTTTCCATCAATGGTAAATTGAGCGGGGAAATCATTGGTTAATGCATTAGATTAATACTGTATTTGCCATGTATCTATGTTTGAGGAAACTATTCTGTTTTAATTGTTTTGTTTGGTTTTGGGGGGCCTTTAAGCAAGTACTGGAGAAATAGCAATGGTTTTCAGCCAGGCTGGATAAGAGAGTTTGATCGCCTACAAGTCATAGTGACTAATATACATTTTCCGGGAGTAAGAACGGCCTGTTCCGAGGCAAGCCTCATTTCCTATGGTTTTTCCATGGGCTTCGGAGCCTTTATGGTCAGCCGGGCTCTGGTGGCAGTGGCTAGATCTAGACTTGCTAGGGCAGAGACAGGCTTTGGCGGTTGACCTTTTTAGCAATTCGGAGCATCATTTCAACTTATTCATGCTAAAATGCAGCAGCATGAGCATGCCTAAATGATCAGTTGATATGAGGTGTTTCAGTACGATAAGTCGCAAGTGGTGAACAATCAAAATGACTGGCAGGTTGAGGAAGCCAAAGAGGGTTTCGCGCTGAGTCAACTCGAGGAAGAGTTTGGCGGCCCAGCGACTGCGACAGGTTGCGACGATGGAAAATCTATTGGCTGACCTGGAGAGACTGATTGGGAAAGGCTCCAAATATCTTAGGCAAAGCCAGAAGAAACTTTTGAGGTTGCTGCTGTTTTTCATGCATTTCTTGGTGTGTGGCCTGAGGTATAGTGAAGTTCGTAATATGCCTCATTCTGAAGTTGAAGAGATGATTTGTCATTACAGGCACCTTGCAGCCGTGGGGTTGGAATGACAAGCATTCCGTGCTAGGGAATCTAGATTTGTTGCTGATACATGAGCCTAGATCTTTTCAGTTGAGGATGGTTTAGAGCTCATGCCCTTGAGTTCGTTGCCTGTGTTTTGCAGGAGCCGCAAAATGGCTCGTGATGGAGAAAAAATGATAATAAGATAAAAAGGTGTTTCCTTGGCAGTTGGCAAGTTCCCTAGTTGTTTAAGGATGTTTAAGGTACATCCTCGAGACTTCACATTTCATTCTTGGCCAGGAAGCGAGGGCTTTCTGAGGAGGCCGGTCGCAAAGTGTGGTAGTCCCACGTGTATCATATGTATATATATATATATTTAACTGTGTGTAATCTGTGTATCATATGTATATTATTATACATATATATATATCATGTATGATACATTGATACATTATGATTCACTATAATACTGTGCTGAATGACTGAATGTGCTGAAAAAAGAAGACCCTGTTGATCTTCTAGTCTCTGTTGGAGGAGCTAAGCAGCATGAGGTGGACACCCTGACCCAATGTTGATGTTCTTCCCGGTTTGGGTCACAGGACGCTAAACGAGTTGCGCATATCTTCTCGCAGTATGAGGCCCTCGTGACTGGAGCAGAGTCTTGTTGGGACTGACTGATGCTGAAAGATTAACAACGCTTGAAATTGTTATTAAAGATGATTGAACGGTGGTTTACGTCCCCAGAAGCTAGAAGCTGGTGTTCATAGGGAAAGGAAACATATGGAAACTGGAAACTGCTTGTGGGGTTAGAATAATGGTCAACCCAGATTGGTCATTGTTTGTTGGATGGGTCAAAGTCCACCCATTGGCTTGTGGTCAATGCCCATTTCGCTTGATTGAAACGACTGTGGGCATTGGCCAAAGCCCAATTAGTGTTGTTATATATTATATACCTTATACTTCCATAACCGTAAGAAATCATAGGTATAAGGAAATACCCTGGGTTTTATAACATGATCAATGCAAAACCGGGATTTTGGTTCGAAACCCTGGGTGTGTGATTAAGATTTCAAAGATGGGCAGTTTTGGATGTTTGGCTTTAAGTTAAAAGACCCCAGATACTCCCATGATTCCTGTTTGGTTGGTTAAATAACCACCTATGAGCACCATCTTCCGCACTTCAATCGTCAGACGCCAGGACTTTTGGGTCCACCACATGATGGCCGAGGAGCTAGGCGCCCCAACTTCCCAGTTCGGATGGAAAATCTGGGACAGTCACAGTGATAGGATGTGATAAGTAGCAAAGGCATGACAAAAACTTTTGGTGTCGAATTGGATACCAACTGCGCCAGCAACTGTTGGTGTTTTAACATGTTTTAAAGATGTCTACTGTTTCATGTTCCATTTACAGCGGATGATGCCCAAGTATGCGCAATTATGCGCAATTATGCGCAAACCACCAAGGATCTTATGGAAAGAGCCATAATTCTCAACCAGTTCTTACTGTGATTCAACACATCATTTCAATGAGAATAGAGGAAAATCAGCCATGCTGAAACCCATGGGATTTCGGTGCTCTGTGAGAGGCATCCAGATGCCACGTGGTGGGACGGCAGCCATGAAGTCTGGCCTGGCAGGGAATCACAGGGCTGTAGCTGGGAATCCATCGTGGGGATACAACGGAACATTCACTACAATATATTGATATATACACATAATATATAGGAGATATACATAGATATATCATGATACACCCTAAAATGGCACTGTGAAAAACCGGACGAGGTTTGAAATCACAAGGCGCTTTTTTTTGTGCCAGTCTTGGATGTCTATCCCCTCCCACCTGTTCCTGTTAAGGTGATAGGTCTTTTTTCTCATCCCATCAAGGCAGGTGGATCTCATTGGATCGTGGAAACTCCAAGGCTACTGGCACTTCCTTTCTGGTCTTCGGCCTGGTGCCACTGCTTGGTTTGATCATTTCCACCGGCCTGCGGCATTGCGCTGGCCCTGCGTGGTGCTCTCAGCGTCAATGGCGGATCTCTCCCGGTGGTCCAGTGAGGTTACAGTAATTGTGTCCTACTGAAAAGTGATATTTGCTGGTGGGTTCAGACTATTAGAATCTATTAGATGGTTACTGTGTTGGATGATCAATTTGTCACCACGTTTTTGGGCTTTGTTAGGTATATAATATATATATATGATATATAACTTATGGAATATTCGGAATAACCCTGCTTCCATGAATTGCCACAGACTGTTCATCCAGGTGGTATCGCCCGCAATTCTCCACAGCCATGTCCCTCACCTTGAGTGCTTTGAACTCAGGATGAGAGGCAAACCATCATACATCATTATTCCAATGTTGAAGGGGAGTCAGTTTTGCAAAACAGCCATACATTGGTACTTGTGCTGTTGGAATGACATTTGCAGGAATTCGGACCGTGATTTTGAGGGCCAGGTGTGCTGTGATGATGTGAAGAGTATTGTTTTTCTTGGCCTTTTGCCTGGCTCAAGGGAAGATGTTTCTCCCTTCCCAGCTCTAAGCTAGGCCTTTCCGTTTGAGACCAACTGGTCAGTTGGTCTATGATAGTGTATTCATAGTCTATCCAGCGTGTTCTCTTGAAGTTGAATCAAAACCATGCAACACCAAAGCCTCACTGGTGAAGTGACCATTGACTTCGTTCGACCGCCTCAGAACAGCCTGGTCATGGCGCCATCCTTGTTTCCCTTGGCATTGCTGAGCACTTTTGCTAGCTTTGCAGGCCACAGTGGCAGAAGATGGCAGAAGCAGCTGTGGAGTTTTGTTCATCAAAAGACATAGAAATGGGGTCAAAGAAAAGAATTGACCTGGGCTATTTTTGTCACATCAACCTTTTCAATGATAGGTATCTGTATCTTGCCGGTGCTTTACAATGGGGCCATAGCCAAGTGCCTGAATATTTCCGCCCACCGCAGGTTCAGTGGATGTTCTTCATGCAGAGTCTGTGGCCGTGCAACCATCTGGAGACGTGGAGGCTGGGGCCTTTCAGTTGCGTCACCAGCCAGAGAGTTTCGTGACAAAATGCCCACAAGAGGCTGTCGCCACGTGGGTTTGAAAAAGTGAGACCAAGTGACACATTTAGGACAATATAGGAAAAACATACCTACCATTTATTGGGCGCCTTCTTCAAGGGATGTTGGAGGTTCCTGTGAAACGAGCTGAGCCCAGCTGTTGGTCATTCGCCAGGCTCAGGGGATGATGAGAAGACAGGCTCCTGACTGGCAGGCCGGCTGGTGAGCGAGCCAGCAGGGGGTGGGATCAGCAATAGGCTGATGAGACTGATGAATATGATATGTGTAGACTGAATGTGCACACAGAGGATGTTTTGTCGAACTGAAAGCGGTTTGGGCGACTGAATATTCTGTGGCTGCAAATTTGCAACACCTGAATCCGGAAGCCTTGCATAGAAAAGATCATAGAAAGACCCATTCATTTCAGGTGTGGAGAAGCCAGTCGTGGGGTCTCTTCCTTTATTTTTTTATTTTCCTTTTCTTTCAGCATTGGTACTGGTAGTTAGATCATGTTATATAGATCATGTTATATAGATCATGTTATGTAGATCATGTTAAATCATAGTAAATCATGTTGAATCCCTGTTATTGGTTTGGTCCCAATTGTTGCAGTTGGTGACCCCCTTGGCCTACAATTCATGGACCTGCCACCACCTTGAAGGCACCAGTGCTGTCCTCCCTGGGAGAAGAGGAGATCGACTGTTTGCAGATGACGGTGAGCCGCGTGGCACACGTCTGTCCTTCAGAGATGACAGGCGAATGTCTGGGAACACACCGATGGCTGGCCCCGAGGTCACTGTAGATGTGATGCGGGTAGTATATAGGGGAAACCACTGAAGCCGCACCTGATTTAATGATTGGTGAATGATGATATTTCAGCCACATTGGTGCAGTTTGTTGAGGAATCATGAGGGGTGTGACGGGATATGAAGCAACAATGCTCAGAATTCGAAACAACATCTTGCTAACTTCATTGAAAGACAGATGGGCTGCTGTTTTTGAGGGAACCCAAGTTTCACACAGTTGCTGACTCTTGATCTACCTGTCATGCTTTGCAGTCTTCTTGTTTTCAATCACACTGGCCATCTTTGGCCAATCTCTCTTAGATTTCTACTCCTGAGTGTCAAATTGTCCTGAACCGTTGGATTGACACGGTGGAAATGTGCAGTCCAACTTTGTGCGAAATGATGCTCGCACCTCCATGGATGACAGGTGAGGAATTCTGTAAGAGCCGCTTCTACGTTGACATGCATGGGAACTTCAGGCACCAGCGATTCGACTTGCCCCGATTCTTTCTTTTGCATAGCGTCACCTGCTCCCGAAAAAAGAAACTGAGTACCAACGGAATATATCCTGGCATCTGTGGCATTCCCCCGATCCATCGGAAAAAAATCAATGAACAAAAAAAAACAGCAAAAGTTCTCCCATCCATTTCCAATAATTTCCATCTTTCTTTGATATATCCGTGAACCAGAAGATAGGTTCTCCAGTGAGGTGTGCCTTGACTCATTGGATTGATGTGAGGGATGTTTGTTTCCATAGTTCCATCATCTTCCATCTGTTTCCCTGAAACCAAGGCCCAATTTAACTGCATGATTTCTGGACTATATTCAATTTATTGATTTTATGTCTCAAATCTACAAATCACCAACTAATGTATGGCTGAAATACAAGTAAATCACATTGACCCCAGGGGTTCTCCATGTCTTCCCCTATATGGCTGAAACCCCAATGACACCAGGCCCTGCAATTGGTTCACCATCGCTGATCGGAACCCGCCCAACTGCGACTGGGATGGCAAGCTGCGCTGCACTGCCATGAGTGCCGCTGAGCTGCGCGTGCGGCTCAATATCTCCAGGTGGGGCAGGGATGGGATTTGGGAAGAATATGCTTGAACACCATGACTGGTTGGTGGTTTGGAACATGTTTTTTTCCATGTATTGGGAATAATACTCCCATTTGACGAATATTTTTCAGAGGGGTTGAAACCACCAACCAGATGAAAAATCAAGGACAACCAAGGTGTTTCATTCGAATAGCATCAAATGAGGTTCAGGTGCTTGAGCAATCGGTTTGAGATAGTCCGGTTGTGGTTGAATGATGCGCCACAGGGGATGTCGATGGAACTTTGAGGAATGCTGTCACACCAAAAACCATCAACTGGAGGGAGACGGTTTGTGTTTTCCTCTGGCCGGCAGGTCTGATGGCATTTGAGCCCAAGATGTGCACCACGCGTTGTGAGAAAAGGTGCGATTTGCCGGATGTAAATGTTGGCCCCTTTTCCTCGCGAAAAGAACAGAATAACAGATTTGTATATATTTGTGTATATTTGTGTCAAAACGACCGACCCAAGCACGGATTTTCGCATTTGTTGGTATGTTAAAAATAGACCCATCCAGTTCTTGAGGATACCCAATACCCAACTTCCGGCCAGCTCCATGTGCCCAGTTCTCATGGTTGTTTCAACACTTCAAGAGGCTACAAAAACGCCATGCAGCATCAGTCGCCAGTCATCAGCTGAGGCCTTTGCTCTACTTTTGCTGGGAGCTTTGGTGAGTCGTTTGGTGGGCAGTCCGGCATGCCCAGTTCAGCTGTCCATGGGACCACCAACAAACTCAGTGAAATCAACCACCCAATTTGCTGCTCAGGCCGAACTCCCTTGGTGAGTGGAATGATCATGCTAGCAAACGGTGGCTTGGCAAAGTGCATTCCCATCATTACCCATCCACCAACTTCAAGAAATGTCAAGACTCGGTTGGAGAGGAGCTCGGTTGTTAAAGTTTTTTTAAAAAAAAAAAATGTTTTTCCCCACCTGCCAGGTGAGGGTTGTTAGATTTTATGTCAGTTGCCTGGTCCTCCTCGTCCTCCTCCTTCTCCTCCTCGTCCTCCTCCTCCTCCTCTTCTCCACGACCATCCACGACCAGTGTTCCCTGCCGGACCTCAACCACGACCATCCACGCCAGTGTTCCCTGCCGGACCTCAACCGCGACCATCCACGCCCAGTGTTCCCTGCCGGACCTCAACCACGACCATCCACGCCCAGTGTTCCCTGCCGGACCTCAACCACGACCATCCACGCCCAGTGTTCCCTGCCGGACCTCAACCGCGAGTATCCCCGCCCAGTGTTCCCTGCGGGACCTCAACCACGACCATCCACGCCCAGTGTTCCCTGCCGGACCTCAACCGCGAGTATCCACGCCAAAAGATATGCCACATAGAGTGCCAGAAGATATGCCAGATAGAATGTTAGAAGATATGCCAGATAGAATGCCGGAAGGTATGCCAGATAGAATGCCAGATAGAATGTCAGCTAGAACGCCAGAAGATATGCCAGATAAAGTGCCAGAATGTTTGCCAGATAGAATGCCAGCAGATTTGCCAGATAATATGCCAGAAGATATGCTAGATAGAATGCCAGATGGAATGCCAGAAGATTTGCCAGTTAATATGCCAGAAGATATGCCAGATAGAATGCCAGATGGAATGCCAGAAGATATGCCAGAACATATGCCAGAAGATATGCCAGAAGATATGCCAGAACATCTGCCAGAAGATATGCCAGAACATCTGCCAGAAGATATGCCAGGAAGAATGCCAGAAGATATGCCAGATAGAATGCCAGATCGAATGCCAGAAAATATGTCAGATAGAATGCCAGAAGATTTGCCAGTAACAAAATGTATAAATGTCATGGTGGGGATCACACGAAGTAAAGTAATTTTTTGCAGGAGTTTGTTTTGGACTGTGGTTTCCCCAGTAAAATCCTAGTTTCCTATTCAAACAATATATGTTTCAGTTTCAGTATGTTTCATCTATATTAATTAATTATAGTTGCTGGAGGTCATCATAAAGTCCTGTTCAATGACCTGTTGTTCGATGCGTTTCTGATGACTTCAGGATGCACTTTTCCATGGATTGGAGGCCTTCCAGGCTGCGTGGCTGAGGCTTTGCAGCCTCCATCATGGCCTTCGCCGTCAGCAGAGAACTTAGCGCTGCTTCCGCTGGGAGGAGAACCAGCTCCAAACCAAGGATGGATATAAGATGATATAAGATGATATAAGATTACATAAGATTTGCTGGGCCGAAGAAAGTCGTGAACATATGATTTTTTGGATGGTTTGGCATTGAGGATTATTTGCTTGCAAGGCTACACATGGATAGCCAACTAGAAACTTATGGTTGATGACAAGGAGAAAGTGCCATTGATAAGCAGGATTATCACCAGCTTGAGCTTGATGGTGAAATTTCTGGGAACCACTGGAATGGGCCTGCAAGATCCATGCAGGTTTTTTTGCTTAAGAGGATTTGGCACTGATCATGGACATTCCTTGTGAATCAGAATCAAGACTTGTACCCTTTGGTAAAAACAAACCAAAAACATGGCAATTGACCCCCCCGAAACTTGGAGATGACGTCCCTGTTGAAAGTCCTCTTTTGTGCTGACGTTCCGGGACCAGGTCAGCTACTGTCCAATGAGATGGTCAACAAGGCAAGTCCTGTGCAGGGTCCAACAGTTCGGGTGCCAAGGTGATGTTTTGGTGCACAAGATTTACACAGATTTACTGTAGCATGGTTTGGGGTTGATGCTGGAAATAGATGGAAGTATACCATATGAATTTAGATGATATCAGTATATATCAATATACATTAGTGATTCGGTAAAAACTCTGGTTTTACCTGATGAGAATGGTGACCAACCAGAACAGTGCCACTACCCATCGATGGTGTCTCGTTTTTTCTCCCAAGGTGCCGTCTCAACCAAGCGTCCAAAGGCACCAACGGCAACGGATGGCCTTGAAGCTCTAGTAACAGATTGTGTTTTTAGAGGAACACACGGAAATGCATACTACGATGAATAAACCATGTTATTTCATGTTATTTCAAAAACCCTTACAATGTAATTATCATTCGCAATCTAGTTCTAGTATAGCTGCACAGTACAGTACCCCAAATTTTACCCATTCCAAGAAGTGTCCTGCCAGGCTTTGCTCTGACAGCGCTGGTACGGTGCCCAGTTCTTGGCATGGCGAAAGGTGAGACGGTGAGGAGGAAGCAATGCCATCTGGATTGTGTAGGTTGATAATTTATCTTTGATTGTTTTTCCACTAATAGATAATAGGGGGTTGATCATTTATCTTTCAACTTGTTTCGCTCTAAATATGGGGAAACGCAGCACCAAAGATAGCTCATTTGCAGGGTACTGGTAGCCCGGATTAGCCATGGAACAACTGGCCGATGATTGCTCAATAGCCATGGTGTTAACGCACTTAGCAATGTCTTGGCACTAGTTGGGGAACTTACCCTTGATGACCCTTGTTTGTGAGAATGTCTTATTTTGCTTGGTTCTGGGTTGACATACCTATGAATTATTGCCACGAATTGGGGATTGGCATATCTATCATTCATCATGCTTGGGGAATAAGTGGATACCTGGCCATAACTGTGGGGTTTACAGTATATCCCAACTCATAGAAGCTAACGCCATGGTTGCACCAACCAAGCTTTGACCAAGGCTCTTTGGAGCACTCGCCACGGCACGGCGCATTGAAGCCAGGGGTTTGGGGCCCTCATCTGTGGTGGCTGATGTCGTTTTCCCTGAACAACATAACCAATAGTAATCATAGCAATACTACCGATCATTGCAGTAGCAATGATACAGACAATTGATAATTACTGTAACAATAGTAATCATCATGATAAAGTCATACTGATAATGATAAATAGCAATGATATATATATATAAGAGAAAGAACAACATAGTACCTAACAAAAGACACCTTTGGTATGTTGGGACAGCTTGCCCATGGAACTCCCAGGCCTGGCCCACCTTTCGGCATCAGTTCTTCCTCAGCAGCGGTGGTCTGTGGGTCAGCACCTGAGATGATTGTCCGCTTAAAACCTCCATTGATAGGGGATTTCTAGGGACTTTTTTGGGTCAACATCTGGATCTGGTTAGTTTGATGTCATTATATGCTGTACTAGATATTATATACCTCTCCAATTTTCGGGTGCTTTTCAGTGAGTCTCATCTATGAAATGTTGGATGAGCGCCACAAAAGTAAGTCATGGGGTCCGAACATGAGTGGTGAATTTTGAGTTGATGAACATAGGGTTTCATATTGATTCCAAGAGGATGCGAAAAAGGAACCTCAATGGCGCTTGTGTCCTTGCCGGAAAACAAAGCGTATCGGAGTTTTTGTTGTGGCTTCTCAAACACCAAGAAAGTTAAACTCGTATTCCAAAAAGTTTATGAAAGTTCAATCCAACTCCAAAAGAGCGAAAATCACAAAGTTGAAGGCACAATCCAGGCAGTTCTGGTTCTCCCTCCAGCAGAAATTCGGTTGTGCATGCTGATGTTCTTAGCTCAGGTGGCTGTATGTTCTGCCATCGTGGCATGGCAAACAACCTCCAGGGCTGCCAGCGCCTTCGAACGCCCAGAACCTCAGAGGGTTTATTTTTCAGGTGGGGGGGATCCACAACTTTGGTTGTTTTTTTCTCATGCAAACCATCTGATGTTCGAACAGTTTTGGGATGATGATCCCAATTGGCTTGAAAAGTGTCACGCGGTTGAAGACACCAACCCGTATGGATGTGCTCAATAGTGATTAGTGGATTTTGGCAGAGTTTTGCGATGTCCAACTACATAAACACACAAGTGTCCTAGTATCTTGAATGAGAATGTGTTTGAAATGGTGGGTTCCTAAGCTCCCAGCCAGAACCCCCATGTGTTTTTTTTGTTCCAACCACAACGGGCAATTCCGTTAGCCAAGCAGGAGAACCTATCAACGACTGGTTTTGGAATGTTTTGGAAACTGTTAAAGTAATGTTAAAATAATGTGTGTGTGTGAGTGTGTGCGTGGACCTTCCTACACTGGGGGCACAATTGACCATCATGTTGTTTTTTGGAAATATGTTTGGGACATTTGTGTCCGTCATCAAATGCGAGACAGGTTTCGGAATAGTCCAAATGAATCCCAATGAGCTTTGAATTGCATTCAAAATGTTTGAACTCAACACCAAACTGGTTTGTGATTTTCAACATGTTTGTATTTCATGTTCATGTTATATATATATCCTTGCAAGCCTTGCATGATTTATCCAAGATTTGCAATTTTCCGGAGTGGTGCTGGGTTTCGGAAGGGATGGCTCGACCACCAACCGTTTGTTTCATGTCATTTTAGGTTTTCAGGGATGGCATTATTGACAAGTGGGAACCACGGGCACATGACAAGGTACCTGTGCGCTCCTACTCCTTTTGGCGGAGCTGCAAAGTTGAGTGAAATTAATTCCCATTACAATGTTTGAAAAATATGCCATTATGATTACAGTTAAAGTACGAAGTATAATCGCTCTTGAAATCATGTGACAAGAGTCATAGGTTACTGCATCACCAGTTCTAGCCTTCCGATGAATCTTGTAATTTGAGACCGGGCGTCCCCAACGACAGCATGTGTTTTGAGGCCGCCCCATGTTTCTTCAGGGAGTTTTGCCAGCCCTCGTTGCTAGCCAACGGTTCAGGCATGCACTTCGAGCTAGTTCGAGTCTTTGCGTATGGTTTGCATCAAACTCAGCAGGGAGGTGGTAGTTAACTTGGATGTGTTCTTTGACACGACCAATCCATGGAGTCCTACGGGGTTGTTGCTTGGTGTGTGATTCAGCATTGTAGCGCAAGCTATTCGAACATTTTTCGTGTCGTGTGTGTGTGTATGTGCATGTGCGTTGATTGTGATACAAACTTACGCTGCTGTTGAGGCCCAAAAAGAACTGGGTTCATCCGTTCTGGTGCAATGTCTAGCAGTGGAACTTTGTAGGAAAACACAGGTCAACTATTTTCTATCAACCAGGTAGTTTCCTTTTCTTAGATTGTCACGTGATTATTGTTTTTGGACTTTAACAATCTTGAACATACTTTAAATATCTTTAACTTGATTCTAATTCTCCAAGATGGCAGTATCCTACCCAATGTTTGGTTATGTTAAAAATGAACTAACTTCTATACAGCTGATATTTCTTGAAGCAAGATGACCGAGAAGCCGAGTGCGCCAACTTCAGCGGGTGGAGAAGGCCGGCCAGGGCTTCCCCAATGATGGTGGGATAGCCCAAAATGGCATGTTTGATTCTGTTTGATAGGGATTTAATGGAGATTTCATGGGGGAAATGATGACTATTGAATTCTGGGGGTGTCCACCGGTTTGCCAAAGTTTCTTGGACATGGTATTCAGGTAAACTGGACTAATTTTTGATAGTTGAAGAACCATTCATTTCTGGTTTGGGATTGTTGGGGATGGTTTATGATAGGGTTTTAAATAGTAGTGGCTGACTCCTGAATTACTTAAGGGTTGTGATATACAATGTGTTTGGGCATAATTCTACGTCGGTGAGTAATATTGATCTTTATAAACATAGTTTTCCCAAGGCCGGACCCATTCATGATTTCTGATAGTTTATCTTGCTTTGATTTCATTAGAATTGAGTCCGCTCATTCAGGTGAATTCAACATGTTAGCGAAATTGTGGTATTCAAGAATGCTACAACGACTCTCAGAATCTGTTGGATCAGCTCCATGCAGTTAGCTCAGAAGCACAGATGATTTGTAGATTTTGTAGATACCTAAACCATTTGAGATACCTTGTTTGTGGCGTGTTCTAAAAATTCAGGATGATTTGCAGACCTGAAGTAATCGACCGTGGGAGAAATTTCTGGCGTGCTTCGAGTTCTCCAAGTGAATGTAGTGAATGTATGTGAATGTATGAATGGTTGGCGGCTCCATGCGTGGTTGTTTTCTATCCTGATCTGAGATTCCCCTAGCCTACCTAATTTTCCGACGGTGCATCGGGACTGCAAGCTGTCCGTTGCAGGTGAAACAGGTGCTTGCGATATCGGTACCCTTCCAACCCCAAGCAGGACAGGCTGCAAGGAAAGCGAACAAGAAAAGGGGCAACAGCGCTGTGCCTCTTCAAGTGGGAACGTTCCTGGGCTTCAAATGGTTTCAGAGGCCAGAAACCCTGTACCCGCTGTAGGCGTTTGGGAGATATATTATTGATATTGTTGGGGCACACTGTATACTGTGAAATTCCTACAATGTGGTGCCAAGTTGGCTTATGGTGAAACACATCTTTGGTTCATGGGGGATATCAACTAAGTTGTAGCTGGGGGCACCACATTGAAACCCTTGAAGCGCATCAAATTGTCGTTTCAACGACGGCATTTTCCCATGGCCAAGGCTGTGGTCGTTGTCGACGACGACGTGACGGCCCCGGTTCCTGCTGAGTTTCCAACTAGCCGGAGGGCTCCTGCAGGTGCCACAATGCCCGGGGTGCTTGGGGGGGCATGGGATGAGGGGCCAAGCTACCAGATATGGTGGGATTGTCAAGAAATGGAGGATTTACCCTGAATGTATGGCCATTCAATTGAATAATGAAAAATGAGATGGAATGGGGCACTGTCAGACAGACACAATTGTAAATCATTATATAATTATGACATGTTTTAAAATGATATTGATTTCGAGTTTGTTGGGATGAAATGAGGCCCCATGTGCAAGCCTTCCTTAGTAGAACCAAGAGTGCTCTTGCCTCCAACTTGAGCACGAAGTCAGTCAGAAAGATGATTACTCTCTTTGACAGATAATCTCAGATTATCAATATATAAGAGACAGATAATCTCAGATTGTCACTGTCACTGAGTCTCAGACTACTACTAATAGTACAACTCACACATGGTATTCCTGTTCCAGCCACCTTTGGGGATCATCCAAACAAATCCACCGCAAATCACATTCGCAATTGAAGATTCCACACATGTTTGATGGTTAAAAAACTCTATCAATGATGGTAAATTAGTGTTAATTAGTTAATTCCTCGCTAAGATCCATTAAGATCCATTAAGTCGCTCATGAACCATCATATCCACATTTTATATATATATATATATCCCCCCTAAAATCACCATATACCCTTATACCCCCATAAAATGATCGCAACGGGCAGGTGCCTCCAAGCTCATCTCGGTGTATTCCCTCAGCGGCCAAGTGCTTGGAGAGGTGGCTGTGACAGCTGAAGAGACGGTGGGGGTCACTGGGCCTGCGAAGGACCGGGGGCCGTGGCTGGTGTGGTTTGTTCGCAAAAATGGTGGGATATTGTGGGTTTGGCCAGCAGAATCGGTGGTTTAAACAGCAAACATGGTGATTTTGATCGAACTTGACTACGCGAACTGATGTTGAGAACATGACTGGCTTAAAAAACTAGGAACTCAGCAAGCATGTTTCAATATGTTTCGAATTTAAAGCCAGAACCCCAAAATATACAGAAAAATTGAATTGAATGCCTGCAAGCGATCAGACAAAAACAATCTATGTGATCTTGCAAACATGGATTAAACAAAAAGTTTAAAAGTTTCTTTGGGGTGCTTCTGAAGGTATAAAGCCGGGAGTTCACTGTCATGTTTGTTTCCAGTAGGGTACTTGGATGTACATCCCAATTGGTAAGTGCTGCACGATGGTATTCAATGCTCGATTCCAAGGGTCCTCCCCATTGACAACTTGACCCTGGTATACCCTAGTGATTATCCATTTGCTACCTGAGATGCAGATCCTCTTTGGGGGGCCCTGAATGAGGTGATGTCCGGGCCAATGGTTTTCTTGGTTGGTGCCCTTCATGAGTGTGCCTGAAAAATGGGCTGCCCAAAAAATTCATCGCTTATCATCAGTGTCACTATTGTGTAAACTAGACCAGAATACCAAATTTCAATAAATTTCATGGATATCCACACAAGAAATCAAACACACCCGCCACTGCCAATATCCAAGAGCACTTCATCCACCAGCCACCACTGCCCCACCCTTTATCCAAAAACTGAGGCGTTGAAGGAGAAGCTCTGCGACGCCACGGGCAGCGACCAATACATGGATTTGGCCTCACAGTGCCTGGGACTTTGGTAAAAAGCTGGGGAGTTCTGACACGATTTCCTCCAGGAATCAGGCATGGCAATGGAAACTCCGATATTTCATGCTTTTTGTTTCCATCGATGAAGCAAAGGTTCCAAAATGGTGATTTGATTGATAGTCAGCAGTAGCGAACATGCCGATGTGAAGTGTTGTGAATGTTGGCCGTTGTGTCTACAAATCACTGTCACACGATACAGATGCGACACACGTCAACACACCCTTCTTGCGCAGTTTTTTGATGAATGTTCAAGTCACGTTGCACCTGCTTCAACTGCATGTTCCATGGATGTTTATTTCAGTGATTCTTCATGCATTTTCCAGGACTCATGGGTCCTTGTGATTTGTCAACAGTATCGCTCCATGAAGAATATTGAGAAAAGAATTGGACCAACGTTAAGGCGACATACCACTTCAATCCATTTTGGTCGCAAAAGTGCGGGATTCCTAGCAATTGGTCAAGGGTCAGATCACATCGGAGAGACTCACAGTGCGTGTCTCACCGTGGACGCTACAACAGCCATGTTGGAGTCTCCCAGTCCTGGGGTCAACCCAGAGGGTGCCACTGAGATGGCTGAGCTTGGCCCAGTACAGATGCTGAAAGTTGATTCTGCAACTCTTTATTTTTTCATAGTTTTAATTAGAGACATCCCGTAAACATGTCTTAGTTTACACCTCCTTAACAAGCAAAGTTGTAAATGCCTCAGGCACGGTAAAATTCTTAGAGCTGATTTGTTCAGTCAGCTCAGGATTGTGGCCAAGTTTAAGGCCATCCGAAATCTCGCCGTCTCTCCAGAGCCTGCGCGTTTTGAAACTCTGCAAGGAGAAAAGGCAGCTGATTGGTGGGATGTTGCAGCTGCAATTCGGGCCCGTGCGAATGAAATCCTGTCGCTGCTCTGTGCTATCCCAGAGGAAGAGGTAGACGTGCAGGACAGGTGACACTGCACAGTGGGTGGCAGCTAAGGATTATAAAAAGACCCATTATATATGTTCCATGCATTATCATTATCCTGCTGCATGCCTCAAAAAAAATTGACATGTGGCTGAGCCAGAGTCTTCCCAGGACCAGGAGCTGCAGATCCGCGATCCCAACAATCCCTTGAGTGTTTTCGCAGCAGTCTGGAGCTGTGCCCTGGCCATGGCGAGGCTAGATGCACATCGGAACTGGCGATCAGCTTGTGGACAGATCATCCGTGCAACTCGGAAAGCCGAGGAGCTGCTACGTCCGCTTCTGTTGGTGGAAGCCTTCCCGGAGGAGTCTGATGTGTTCACACTTCACACGGCCATATCTCACCAGCAGCCACCACTTGCAGGAAGTGCCACAGCAGTGACATGGAGCGCAGCAGAAGAGACACGAGCACAAGAGGATGCAGAAGCAGCAAACCTTCCTGAAAAAGCTGCAGGAGGTGAAGCAGAAGCAAAACTGCAGGCCTTGGAGTTTGAACTGCTGGAGCTACAGAACAAATACAAGACTACGGAACACGACATGCAAGACCACCCTGACATTGCTGCAACACTGCATGAGCTAGGCACTGTGAGTCGGAAGGCTGGAGATTTCAAGCAAGCGAAGCAGCACTATGATGAGTCCTTGCGAATGAACCGCTCCTTGCATGGGG